TTCAAGCTATATAGGATGGTAAGGTCAAAAGCTTTATTATTAAGTTTTATCAAGTGAGAGGTTAAGAGCTCAATCAAAAACGTGATGAGTAGTGATTTAGTATGAAAGGACTAGAAAGACTCCAAGGAGGTAAACAAACAAGACGGAGGTTGAAACTAGAACTAAAAGGAAGCCTAAACAGAAAGCTCTAAAGTAGTAAATGAAGTTTCTAAAATCATCAAAAAGGAATAGGAAGATGAAACTGGTAGGACTGAGGATTTAAAGGGAAAAAAAAATCTCACTGAAAGCTAAAAATGGTGGAATTCAATCAATGTAGAAGCTTGGAGTATTAGAGTCTTCTTTCTCCCTACCTTACACCAAATGTTTTTTATAATTGCGGTATAAATTACATACAGTATAGTGCACAAATCTTAAATGTGCAGCTTGATAAATTATATATGTACACACACATGTAACCATCACCCAGATCAAGATATATAACTTATCCCCTGTTTCCTCCCAGTCAGTAACTCCCTTCTGCCCCTTGCAAACTGATCATTATTGTGCTTTATTTTCGAACATCATATGAATGGAATCATATAGAATATACTTTCTTATGTCTGGCTTTTTTCACTCAACCTTACATTTCTGAGATTCATCCTTGTTTTTGTGGGCACTGGTAGGTTGTTCCTTTTTATTGCCACATAGTACTCCGTTCTATGAATATACTACAAATTTGGTTATTCATTTTCCTACTGATGGACATTTGGGTTTTTTCCAGTTTTCTACTATGAATAAAGCTGCTACAGATAAGTATTCTTGGACAAGTCTTTTGGTGAACATTCCTTCTCTTGGATATATACCTAGCATAAACTTGCAGAGTGCTCACATCTCAGGGAATATGCAAGATGATTTTTGGGGTTGTGGGAAGAAAACAGCAGAGCTTCTATTTTAGTTTTTTATTCTTTTAGCTAAAAAGTAAATTTTACTAATGTTTAATATATAGACTGACACAACTGCCCTTATTCAGATGGTTATGTTTATTCACTTTGCACATACTGTGATTTACTGTCATTTGTGTGTGCCTAGTTGAGCAGAATTATGAAATATCTACTTCTAACTGAACTAGCTCTCACCAAATGATCAAGTTAAAAAGAGTCCTACAAAGACAACAGTAATAATGTAAGTGCAAGCAAACAAGGAAATGGCCGAGCTGACACTTCTATTCTAGAAAATATCTTCAGAAGATAAAAACTATGATCCTCTATCTAGTCATATCTCACAAGGAGCAGGCAAAAAAATTCCAAAAATTAAGACTTTTAAAAATATGCACTTAATCTATTACTGTTAATGATATTTTGCCAATAAAAAATTTAAAACATAAATTGTTTATATCATGTCATCCCTTTTAGTTTCTTTGTGTTTATCTTATAATGTATATAAGTATATGTTTATATAATTTAAAAGTAAATTTACATATATTAGGGATGCATGCTCAAATTTTTTTTACCAACAGGATCACAATCAAAAGAATTCAGAGACTCTTGTTTTAGTATAAGTATTTTTTAGTATTAAGCTAATCCTTAGACATAGATGAACTTCTAATTTTTAAAGCCATACACAATAAAGTATACTCCACCAGAAATAGCCAACTGCTATTTAATGTTAAAATAACACATGTGAACAATAGGGGAGAGGGATGGAGGAGGAGGACAGGAATGGACCAGAAAGAGTAATGGAATTATCGTATACATCGGTAGGTATTTGTATTATATCAGTGAATACTTTTGTCAAGCTCACTGAATAGTACATTTAAGAAAAGTACATTTCTATGTAAATTTTACTTCCAAAAAAAATCTATTAAAAATATTGACCTCTAATTAATGACATGCATATTGAAATTATGTCTAGGGCTAAATTATAGTGATGTCTGCAACTTACTTTGAAATGAACTAAAATAAGATGAACTAATGTATGGATAGAGGAATGGATATATGAACAGACGTGATAGAGCAAGTACAGTAAAATTTAACTGTAGAATCTACGTGGTAGATACATGAGTGTTTACTGTACAATTCTTTCAGCTTTTGTTTGAAATTTTTCATGTAAAATGTTAGAAAAAATAGCAAAACTACTCAAGAGTTGAAAACTGACAAATATTAAAAAGTGTAGTGATACAAGGGAAAATAAGAAATTCATAAAGGAAAAAGGTAAGAACATTCAAGCACTATTGCTCAGTGCCGTTTAGATACTCTGCATCTATGAAATGAGAATTATCTCTATTTTACAGACTAGTAAACTCAAACTCAGAAAGATTGCAGAACATGCCCAAGGTCACACAGTATGAAGCCCAGCCAAGAGCTGAATTCAACCTGTCTAAATTCTGAAAATCCTTTTGAACCATATTCCTCATAAGGGGCTGCCTAGGACCAAACATCTTCCCTATAGCAGCAAAAACTCTTCTCTATTCCTGCATGGGCTGAAATCTGTCTCCCTATGTTTTTACTCCTAGATTTGATCCTTTGGGGCCACACAGAATCTAATCTCCACATGACTAGTCTTCATATCAAGTGATAATATTTGAAATTTGAATAAGTAGAACTTTTTTTTCAGTTAGTATTTTATAACATTATCATCTACAAAGGTGTAACTATATGTAAAATGGGGATAATGCCTCATAGAATAGGGATGAAAATATAATGAGAACATTTGTGAAGCATCTAGCACTGTAACCAAGAATAGGAACTCAAGGGCCGGCCTGGTGGCGCACTGGAGAGTGCGCTGCTCGGGAGCGCAGAGCGCCGCCAAGGGTTCGGATCCCATGTGGAGACCGGTTCCCGCTCACTGGCTGAGCGCGGTGCAGGCGCAACACCGAGGGTTGCGATCCCGTTACCGGTCAGTAAAAAAAGACAAAAAGGAAAAAAAAAAAAGAATAGGAACTCAAATATCTTTTTCTTTTTTTTTTTTTCTAACCCTTACCTTTCCTTGGAAATTGCAACATGCCACTCAGTGTAAAATAATACTTTTTGTCTAAAGAGTCTTAGGTCCTTTCCTTGAGGAGCTCGTGTTAAATGTGAATAGACATAGATTTTTCTTTCTTGTATCTATTTTAGTTCATCTAAAAACCTAATGTTGTTTCCTCATTTTATTTTCCATTTTGCCTTGGTTTAGGATTATAACTTCCAGGAATTTTATGTACAATTAAGTATACAACTAGGACCACTGCTGTAGCACTTTTGTGTTTCACAAATTACTACAGGTGGCCAACCTGTGCAAGCAACATGTTAATGAAATTTTAAGTCTATTTTATTTTTGACTCTCAGAAGATATTTTAACAGTAAGATTAAAGAAAGCCCTTGTGTTACAAGGAAATGACCAAATGGTAATAATAACCTTTAATTCATTTTAAGCTATGTAAATACATATATGCCCAAAAGCTGTTTATTTTTTACTTTACAAATATATTCAGGAATTCCCTAAAGCGTTCCTAAACTCACAAATCTTGCCCCTCTAAGCAATATGGTACTATAGTATAAAAAATAACCAGTTTTTCTATCCTAAAAACTTTGCCTTATTTAAGGACAACCTATAAGTTCAGACATGGAGAAGTTATTTTCATAGCCTAATGGAACTTGAATAAGACTGTTTTTTTCTTCTTAATATCTGAGGTTGTTAATGTTGGAAGGAATCCTAGAGACCATCATTTTATAGCTGTTGTATAAATGGATATGCAGACAGTTGAAATGATTAGTCCACAGCAGAGCCCGAATCAGAAACCAGGTCCCTCAATTCCTTGCCCAGTGTTCTTTCCATTTTACAATCGTGCCAAACCAAACATGAAAAAAATGATTATGTCCATCCATTACCTCAACTTCACTAAATTTCAGTCTGGCCACCCGTGATGTCACTTCCTTTTGTGAATGGGTGTATTTTTTTCCCTTGGTTTTGCTATCTTCACTTCACTACAATACATCTTAGAGCTAGAGCTAGAGCTCACATTCCATATTTATGCCAAGTTATCTCATGCCTATTTCTCTTCCTCAAGGATACCAATATAGTCTCCAGGATGTCCTGACCCTCCTTTTCACTGTATTTCTTATTTCAAGCAAACAATTGCCAACTATTACAGAATTTAAAATAAATGGGAATTATTTTAAAACGAAAGCACACATGGCACTGTTGTGTCTCGTCCTCACTCAAAGAGCCTAATAAAAATTTTAATGCTGTGTAGTACATGCAGCTGCTTTCTAGCGATAACCTTGCTATAGGAAGACAGAGCTATTGTGGGTGTAGTGGGAAACCAAGAATAAGGTTTCGGATCCGACCTAAACAAATATGGAGGTGAAAAGGCACAGGAGGTTGGGGGGCCCACCAGTGAGTGCTAGGCTGCAAGCTCTCAGCTATTTGGTGACGGTTTAAAGGAAAGATGGGCACCAGGGAGGCACGTACTCCAGGACAATGATAGGGCAGGCGAGGCACCCGGAATCGCGCTCGGGAAAAACTCAACAAGTCTGGAAGGTGAAGGACGCACCAAGAGATGGATGAATGACTGCCCAGAGGTCCCCGCTGGCCTCTGGATGCCCACTACTCCTTTCCAGGATTTACTGCAGCCGGCACTCGCCATTTGCTCTTCTCTCCCCTACCTGCCCCGACGTTCGACCGGGACCCGGGATATCTGCCAACCCTGCCCGGAGCCGATGCCTCCTCCCCAGGCCCACTTCTCGGCGACGAGGCTTCCCTGGTCACCACCGGCTTTCCAGGAGGAAGGCAGCGTCGGGCCTGCGTGGGCCGAAGCCGCCTTCGAAAGTGGGCGGAAGGATGGCCGCCCTGGCGGGGTGCGGGAACCCCGGCCTCCACCCCGGCTCGCTCTTCTCTGAGCAGGGCCTCTCGCTCCCTGAGACCTCGCCGCAGCCAGCCGTGAGCCGCGGGCGCGGGCTGAGGCGAGGAGGAAAGGGGGCGGACGCGCCATCATGAAGGGAAAATGGTGGGCGGGCGGGCCCGCGCGCGGCCGCCGTACTTACCCGAGCCGGCCAGTGCGGGTAGCCCTTCATCTTGGCGAAGACCAGGTCACCCGCTTTGTACTCGCGGGGCCGCGGACGCGCCATCCCGGCCGTTCCTCTTCCCGGTCGTCCTTGGTCGCCGCGAAGTCGCCGGGAGGCCGCCCCGCC